TTTTTTTTTTTTTTTTTTTTTTTTGTGTGTTTTGTTTGTGTGTGTGTGTGGGGTTAGAACACCACAAGACGCAAAGTCCATCACACTAATACAGAAAAATCAAAAGATAATAACATATCGTAAAAAATCCTTTTATTTCTTTCCTTAGAAAGAAACCAAAATAGGGCTCTAGCAAAACAACTCCAAAGCATGTTTGCCATTAAGATCTTGTGTATTTTGATAGTCAAGAAACTCCTACCATTGTGAATTGGCCAATGGTCCATTCAACTCAGGCCGGGTCCTTCTCTTATGTTGTAGAAGTGCATTTTCCGGTGAAAAAATAACCATCGATTTCAGCTAGTCTATTAAGAGATTCTTGTCTTGATATGCCACTACTTGCACCACAAAGCATTGATCTGCCACTACTTAACCTTTCCATGTTCTTTCATCTCCCATATCGTCATTATTAGTGAGAAAGAAATTTATGTGTCTCCAATGTTTCCTTGCATGTTGGAAAGTTTAAAAAAAAATAATAAAAAACAGGATACGCAGAAGGACTTGTTGGAATTTGTTGGTGTCCAACATTGACACTTGGTCATTTTACAAGTGTCTATGCTTTATAATTTAACTGCCATTGCTATAAGTCTTTCTGAAACACTTCTGACAACTGAGGTGCTTAAATCAGTTCCTCTTGACTGATTGTGTTTCTGTGTAGGATTTTTATAAGAAATGTTGCTGTGCAGGATTGCTTTCTTAATATTATTCTCAATTGTACTTTTCTTACCTCAACTTTATAACTTTTGAAAAATATTTTGAATTTGGTTTATGATGATCTTTGTTCATAGATTTTGTCTTATGCAGTGTCTAAAACGAGAAAAAGTAGTGCGTGTATTCAAACTGAATACTGGACAAGATGATCATGCAATAATGTTTCTGGATGACTATCTGAAGCAGGTTGGTTTTATTTAATGTGTACCTATATAAATAATACCCCCAGTATTTCGTCATGGACATTTTGCTTGCTTGTAATCTGTGTGTGGATATTTGAGGGGTTTATTGGTCCTTGGCTCTCTCTTGGTCTTGGTCTTGGTCCAAATGTTACAGCCTTCTTAATTTGCTCAAGCATTGTTTATCGTTTGGTAGGGTGTGTCAAAAGCTTTCTGTTGGGAACATTTGTTGAAAAAGAAGTTGTAGAATTTGTGAAAGAGAATAAAGCTAAGGACTTAATGAATTTGGCACGTCTTTGTTTATTTTTTTCATTACCCTTCTTTCTCATGATTGTCAATTGGTGTGCCTTTTTAATTGCCTTCATACGAGAATGGATACAGTACCTTCCCCTCCAGGTTTTTTACCTTTTCCATTTTGTGATACAATGTTTCTTATTCGTTAGAATTTTGAGGGATTTATTTTATTTTATGTCTATGACACTAACATGTGAATTTATTTATTATTAAATAATGCATTTGTTGCTGCCATGATTTCAAGTTCTCTCTCTCTTTTTCCTTTTCTATATTAATTGTTTACATACAGATTGACCATGTGATATCAAGATTTGAAGAAAGGATGCAACTTGGCACGGGAATTTTTCAGTGGTTTAAGACGCATGTTCTGGATTGCAAATTGGAACCTAGTATTGGACATCAGGAGCTTGTGAGTAAATGTATACTTCCTATAGACGCTATATTCTTTGGGCTGTTTCAATAGCTTGTTGGAGATGATCAGATTTATGCAAATATATAGAAGGATGCAATGCTAGATGTTGCATTATTCATTCAAATATTCAATTCTATAACATACTGGAGATAAAAATATGAAGTTCATATACTTAACTATGCTGTACAGGGCAGCTTCCCATAACTGTATGAAGGAGTTATGGGTGGAGCTTCAGGACTGTTTAGGTCTCTGCAGTGATATGGGGCTTAGTGGAGATTTGAACGTTATTTGTTGGGTATGGAAGTCTAGTAGGACAGCAGAACTGAAAGTATGAATGATTTCTTTCTCAAAGGAGTTCTCGTTTTCTCTTTCTAGTTGAATGCTTTCTCAATAGAAGAAAAAACCTTCATTGGGAGGAGGTGTCTCATGATCCTTTGTTTTTTTGGTGGGGAACTTTAACTTGTATTATTGAAGAAATCCAAACAAAAAAGGTGAATGAATTATCCCCAAATAACTGTGAGGATGCAAAAACTAAGCCCAAAATATTTTTTGGACTCGAGGGCTCAAAATATTCCCCTGGTTAGAAAAGGGAAACTAACTGGTTAATTTCTTGCTGCAGTGCACTCTCTTATCTCTTGGGGGAAAGGTTAAAGATGAAGATATCTCCCTCTTGATCAACGCTGGACTCCTTGTAAGTAATCTTGAGGTTCTCATTAAAACTGCCTTTAATGTGGAAAAGAGTAAAGATCCGCTGGTCTTTTTTTATTTGGCTAAGTTCATGATTTGCTTCTTCCTTAATAGTTTTCAACCATGTATATGCGTTTGATTGTGTATATTCACTTGTATCTCTCTTTCCAGAATCGCCAACTTATTGATCCAAACGTGTATTGGTTTGCAATTCCAAGTATTGGTTCAGTACTGAAAGGCATTGCTCAGGTATCTGAAATAACTTACCTGAGAAATGATTTTGCAATAGCTATTTATTTTATATGGCAGGAAAAATTACACTTTTGGTCCTCAAATTTGAGTTTGGTAGCATTTTAGTTCCCGAGTTTTCAAACTCGACTTTTAACCTCTGAGATTTGGGAAAATGACTCGTATGGTTCCTATTGAGAAAGGAAGGAGAACTGCAGTGAACACAGTTCTGTCTTTTTGAACTTATGGCTTGGTAGTTTGAAATAAGATTTAAAATTCAATAAAAAAATGTGTTCGAGTTCTATTGAGCATTCTGACTTATCTTTTATTTTCTTTTTCTGAATTCAGGGTAGAAAGGAACTCATTTCTTTGCTAAAACGTACCAAATATAAAGAAATGATGATGACATCTTTGCAGAAGAAGCGTCTTCGTTTTTCTTCGCTCGATATGAGATTTCACATACGGGATTTAATTGGCTCAGGTTACCTCCGAACTGTGCAATCACCAACAGGCTTACTTGTTCAGTTATCGAAAGATTGAAACCAGGGAGGATTGAATCATGTGCTTCTGTTTGCTGTCATCCCATTCATGTTTATTGTCTTGCTCAAAGGTAAGTTTCTATCACTTGAATACTTCTTTAATATAATAGAATTTAGGAAAAAGTTCATTTTCTGTGAGCATTGATTATTCCAATTGTGCTGGTGCTCTTTCTTAGTTGAATATTTTTGTGTTACTAAGTTCGAATATTTTTGTTTGTTTTGTTTCATTTAGTGGCTAGGTTAAGTAATTTCATGATAGAGCTTGGACATTTTTGGACGTAATTTAAACTATAATTTTGTAATTATAAATTAAAAAAAAAATCTTGCAATATTAGTAAGAATACCCCCAAAATCTAATCAAATTTGTAAAAATATATGCGATGAAAATTAAAACTAAAATATAAAGTCATTATGCTCTAAAATAATAACACATAATATGCGGATTATGAAACAAAGAAACTTGTAGGTGAAAGTAGAGTGGAACATATTGCTTTTGCTGTGTATTATCTACACTGAAACACTTGTGTATATGCTATTGGTTTGGTGTATTTTGTACAACAAATCGTTGAGAAAACCCCACCAAAATTATATGTGGGAAAAAAGGAAGACAAGAAAGAACGAAAAATAATAACAAACCAGATCTTTTATTCACCTTCTTCAGATCTATTATTCACCTTTATCAGATATGTTATTCCCCTGCCTGTGAACAATGCTACAACAGTCAAAGGCTCGTCTCCAAGCTCGATTGTTAAAGACCAAAAATCCAACTCCATCTTGCTCGAGTTTAATTTTCTGTTAAACCAAAGTCTGTCAAACACTTTCAATGTGGAATGCACCATCCAACATTTTACCTATATATATACTATAAGGTCCAACTGAGATTACTTAATGAAATAGAGCTCCTGCTGTTTCATCTGATGACACGCAGAGAATCGATACGTTACATCGACTCTTTCCTTGCTTCAACTTCATCCTGTTGAGATGTCATTGAGTTTGAAAAGCTACCTTCTCTGGACTGACCATAATTAGATGTATCAGATGCATCTGTTGCCTCTTCGCCATCTATTTGAAACAGTAACTCAAATTAGTCTGGTAGCATTGTAATGGGACGATCTAGTAATAAGTTTATTGAAGAGAGTGAAAAAAAAAAAGAAAATATCGGTGCATACCAAAGATTGACTTGATTGTCGGTCTTTTTTGTTTGCCGCTTTTTTTCTTCAATTCAGCTACACGTTAAGAGAGAGAATCAATTATTTCCGTGAGTAATCTCCCTCTTCAGAACATGCCAACTAGAACTTGGAGCAAAAATGTGTGATCTTAAAAATGCTTGAGGTGTAAATAGTGAAGGTAGAGAGAGATAGAGAGATTGCTTCAAAACATTTTCAAATTTAAGTTTAAGGATGTTTAGTGAAATCTGTGTGGCCCTAAGAGTGCTAATGACTTATATACAAGGAAAAATTGCACAAACCACCTGTAAACTATGGGGTTTGTTACAATTAGAGTCCTAAGAACATCAACATAAAATGATAAGTTGGAAAGATCTGCTTATAAAGCCAGAAAGTAAATATTTCAACCGAATGTGAGAGGACATACCCATCCCAGGCAATTGATAATCATTGACAATTTCGAAGTTCTTGTAAGTGTATCCAACAAAGTTGATGTCCTTAGATGAGAGCATCTGATACAAAACAAATCAAGAAGGGAATAAGAGAAAGACAATAAGAACACACTGTAAATTCGGAAGATCATATCAAAATATCTTAGATGAAAAAAGCAATATTTGGTATGGAAATTTGGCACGAATTTTAGGAAATCAAAGATCACTTTTGTTATTGACTTGTTGCATATATACATACATATATATAGTTTTTATTTAGAAGCCAACACCTCTTCGTGCCTATCTTATTATTATTACTTTCTTCTGCATCACTTTCTGCAAAACAATCTTTCTGAATCCACCGAAGTTTTTTTTTTTTTTTTTTGGAGATTAATA